GACAGTGCCTTTCTCATCCCCAGCTACCAAATCCATCCAAACAGACATGTTTCCTGCCAAATTTTTATTCCGAATTAGCCATATATGTTTGTAACATATATTGCACAAAGTATTATCATAGCATCAAACAAGCTTTCAACCACTGCAAGTGTTCTGCTATAATAAAGAAGGCATGAGGGAGTTGCTTCAGGTTTTTTTTAACTAAAATATTCTCAGTAACTTTCAATAAGCTTTTTGTTATCTATTCTGCTTCATTGACAAATATGCAGGGGTGCTGTTTTCCTCCCAATGTGAAGTGCTTTCTTAGGTTAATGACTGAGTATTTAAAATCAGAGCAATCGTTTTAAGTGTTTTGTTGTACCAACAGTAGAAGCCTCATTGAGTTAAATTGGTTTCGCTACATTATCTGTTGGATTAGCAAACCAGCTAAGAACTGGTGTGAGAGCTTTTACTTTAACTTGGATAAATGCTTTCATTTTTACCCAGAAACAGGACAGACGTTTCTGTATATTAACCTCTTAATAGTGCTGTCACTGCCTGCATTACTTTCAAAAAACTCATGCAGTATCTTACCCTTCATCTTGTGCTTTCTGACTCTTTTCAACCTTGTGAGATAGCAACAGCTATTTTTTAACATTAATACAGTAGCCTGCATAAGTGCCCCACAGAAAGCACTCATGAATACAGAATGGTGCTTTCTCTTCTGTTGTCAAGGCCAAAGTAGAGTTTTACAAGCCCTTGGGCACTGTGAAGAGGCAGAATTTCATTATCGGGTGAAATCTCTGAGTTTATTTTGATTTTCCTTCTAATGAATTTTAGCTTCCAGTTCAGTAGTTGGAATGTCTATTTTGTCTGTTTATAGAAGCTCCAATTTCTGTAGATCTACATTTTATTAACACTTCACATTTAGAATGATTACATTAACACATATCCCACTCTTTTTATCACAGACACACCAGTCCATAGCACAGTACTCTGAATTGCTGAAAGGAATACAAATGCTTTCAGGTACAGCACAGAAAAAGTGCCTGCTGATCTGTCACATATACTTTTTTTTTTTTTCCCTCTCCTTGATGCTAGTACATCCAAAGCCAGCATTCAACTGACATCAAATTAGTTTATTGCTGTTTATTAAGGGCATCATGAAATTAGAGTTGAAGAGGGCCTTGTCTTTAGATGTTAATAAATCTCAAGTATTAATGTCTGGTGATTTTAAGTATGATGATTTTTAAATGGCAAAAAAAAAAAGTAAAGCATATTCAAAAGTACAGAAGATTCAAATTTTTGCAAAACTCCAATCATTCCACCATACTCCTATACTGAAGTTTCTCCTTAAAAGAGTTTGAATGGCATCTGACTTTTCTATTTCTGGCTCTGGAAACAGATTTAAGAAAATCCCACTCTTCACGATGGAGGTGTTTTGTGCTACTCATGCAAGTGCAGCAACAGTGGCTGAAACACCTGTTCTCCCCTCTGAGTCACCTCATTCCTGGAACGGACACCATTGCCATATGTTTGCTCACAGTGCACATTTCTGACTGCCTGCAATGGTTTGAGATTTTTTTTCCCCCCTTTTTATTTATGCTTCTGTCTACAACATTGTGATAGTCTAGCATTCTGGCTTTGTGGTTGGGTTTTTTTGAGGAAAAGATTGCTGTCACCTTTTACTTTGATCAGTCACAACTGAGCTGTGCGCCTTGAAGGTCTGCAGTCAAACTACAGAAAAATTCATTTAATAAATCTTTTGAAGAAGTCAGCAGGGCATGCATCCTATGACCGTCTCCCAGATGGAGAAGCACCTAATTTTGTCCAATAACCCCATGTGATTACTCAGTTGGCTTCAGTGTAAAGAGTTATGTCAGGTGCACAATTACAAACTATTACTGCTGAAGTAATTAGATTAGACACTGCCTTTATAATATCTGCAGCCGCCTCCTTGCTAATTACTCTAAATAACCAGCCACTGCGCACTAGAGGCACTAGGTTAATGCTTTGTTCTCTGCTCTTTAATAACTTTAATTCCAAAATCATGGATTATTTTCTTATGATTTACACTCCACAGGAACTTGCTGTGAGCATTTCTTCAGCTGGATTTAGTCAATAATTTCACTCTTAGCAGCAGATACTGACCCTGACAGGCAGTATAATAAACTAATTGCTAAAGAAACCAGGAGGATACAAAAAGGTTAGACTCCGCTTTCACAGCAGTAGTTAATCTGCTGATTTTAAAACAAAGATTATTTCTGATTTATGCAAGTGTAACAGAGAAGAATAAGGCACTATTGTCTTTGTAAAGGGTGTAGTACTGTTCAAAGGGCTGAGCAGAATATTTCGGACTTGCCTACCATCTTGCCTTGCCTATGAAAGTGCATCATCCAAGAGTTACATTTAAAATTCCAATGCTTCTGAGGCCAGACAAGAATGAGATCAGGTGTAAATTGAAAAAGTTCAGTTTTAAACTGAAAGGAGAGGTAGACATAGGATCATGGAAAAAGTAACAACTTAGTAAGGAAAAGGCATTGTAAAGTCATGCTTCTGCTGTTTTTATTCCACTCTGCACTTAATCATTACATAAAACGGTAAGAATGATTCAGAAGAGAGCAGGAGGTGTTGAACTTCCTTTGGGAGAAAGTGATTATGACCAGAAACAGACTTAAAAAAAATGGTGTATTTCTGTTATGTAGCATTTCATCAACATCGGGAACAAACACCAAGAAAAATAAAATAGAAAGAGGAGAAGCAGAAGGAAAAAGAAGCCTTTCGTTACCTGCATGTATTGAAGGTAGAATTTCATTAGCGTTCTGGATAAGGTGAAAGTTGAGTGATACTTTGCTTTAATTCAGTATGTGAGAGTCTCAGAAACTACGGTAAATAGCACCACATAAGTACTAGTTGGATGCACTTACCTAGTTGGAGGATAAGAGTTTCTGTCTCTCCTGAAGTTTTTTTCTTCTGTAAAACTCAAAGATACAGGAAAGAAATCAGTATCAATATATCAATTTTGAAGATGATGCAGTGAAATGACTTAACTGAGATTGCCCAACAAGTCAGTGGCAAGATCTTGGAGCAGAATCTGAGTGTCTCAGTCCAGGGCTAGGCTGGTGAAAACTTTGTGGAACAATTATAGCTTGATGTCAGTTTGCATTTCCAGCACACTGTTGGCACATAGATTTTCTGTTATAACAGAAGGTAAAGATTGAGGTGAACCTAAGACTGACTTGTGATGGGAGCATATTTTCTATCATAGCTCAGTTCAGAATCATTATTTTTGTCTTCAGCACATTCTCTTACTTTGGTGATATTGAACAAATCTTATTTTAAGTTACAAATCTGTGTTAAAATGCTCTATCCTTCAGTGCTGGTCATATGAAATCAAACTGTATGTAACAGATAAGTAAGACAGGAGGAATGTGCACACACTCCACTGTGATTAAATGCTTGTTTCATCCTTATTGCAATTGCAACTATTAATCATCAGCCACTACATTCAAGAGCTCCATCTTCAAAACCCAGCGCAATTCTTATCTACATTTTTTGGCTTGTTTAATCTCACATGTCCCCATGCTCCCTTCCATCATAGCTTTCAGCCACTTGCTTTGCTTCCTTCTTTTTCTGCCTCTCTCATTTCGTATTTTCTTTTGTGTCAGTCTTTATATTTGAAACAACCTCTCACTTTCAAGGCCACAAAATCCTCAGAAAGAATTTCCCTTTTGAAGTGTCTTACACTGGTTTCCTAAACTAACAATATTTAAGTTGTTTTAATCCATATCCCAATATACTTGCTGCGGAGTTTTTTAGAGATTAATTATGAAACTTGCATTTGTTGTGAATACTTCTTTCATTTGCTGAGTTCACTGGAATTATTTACAGAACAAAGTGTTATTTTGCATGAGCTGGGTGAGAGGATCTAGTCCTGAATTAAGGAGTGCATATGAGTACCCACAAATTTCATTGTCAAATAATGGAAGTGAAGAGGCCTAACATATTAGGTCAGCCTCTGAATAAAAATGCCAAAAATATCCAAAGCAACTGAGTAACTTAGTCATTTATGACCTTTTTTTACTTCACTCAGCTACTTAGGGACAGATACAAAGAGGATCTTTTCAGAGGCACACATGGTAGACTCTCACTGAAAATGAAGAGAAGGAATTCTAAAGTCCTTCCTGAAAATGCAGCCTGAGTTCCTTCACTATCAAGCACCTTTAAAATTTTTCCCAATCCAACATAGAAAGCCTGAGCTTTCCCTATGTTTCTAAATCACTTTTTTTCTATTTTTGGGCCTATTAAACTAATAAACATTACTGTGTTTAAGTGTTTAAACTTTCATTAGCTTAGATCTGAAATGTAATACAGTCATTATTAATGATTCAGTAGAATTTTATGTAGTATATTTTATTTCATGCTGTGACTAAGAGCATTGAAATGTTTTCAGTACTTTATCCAAGACAAATAATAATTTAAGAAAAAGCCTCCATTCCCCTCTATTCCTCTTTACTTTGTTCATGAGATTTTTATGATTAAAAACTCCAACTTTACCACTACTGTTAAACTTAGACCATCCCAGAGAAGGCCAGATGCAGAAAATCACTTGTGTGGAAGCAAGGAATTAGCTCTTCCATTACAAAAAAGGAAATTATCTGAGTGTGAAAAGCCAAATCTTCATTACTGGTCAACCCTTAAAATGGAGAAAACCACAGTAATTTAAGATTTAAACTTTTGCTGCAAATATGTACATATGAAAAATTGTCTCATGGTATTACAGGAAAAAAGGAGGTGGGATTGTTTGGCAGAGCGCAGTTATTACTGTACCAAATCAGATCAGTAATAAATTGCTGCTTTTAGTAGGAATTGATTGCAGGATTTTCTTGACTTTAGAAATGTCTTGAGCTCATTGGAAAATATTTTGAGAAGAGATGGATCAATACAGTTTCAGTAAGGGCTTTTTAGTCTGTCGGTATTGTTCAATTTGTAGCTCTTCACATGAGGTTTGGTGGGGATTTTTACATTGTGTATGCAACCCAATATATAACATTGACTGCTGCAAAGGCTGCTGGGAACACGGCTCTGGCATATATATCAATGGTATCAGCATCAATGGGCTTAAAGAGGGACTTCAGACCACTCTTTTTATCCAGTTTCATTATTTGCTGATGTTTTGTCTCTCCAGTTTCTATTTCTATTGTGCCATACGATCCAGGCAGGCTTCTGGGAATTCGGTGCTGCCTATTAGAAATGGCCAGTTCCTGGTTCACACCAGCTATGGAAAGGGAAAACAGAACAATGGCATTCTTCACGTTTACCTGCAAAGGAAAGAGGACAACCTGTAATAGCAATCTATAGGGCAAAAGTAGCGTACTTCATCCAAGCTAGTCAGGCTACATGGTGAAATACCTATAAGATCCGTAAGTGCTGAATGGTATTTATCATTTGCTTTGGCAGAAGGACCACTGAAAGGCTGTGCTACCACGTCTAAATTTTGTTTATAATTTTACATGCTCTGAATTACCGAGGCACCGCTGAGACAGCATGCTTATACTCTCCTGGCTGCAAAGAACTGACTGACTCTAAGGAGACAGTTACCCCATTCTGTGGTCAAAGGCAATAGGCAGTTCTCAGGCTCTTGTCAAAGTTGAGAGAACGTGAAGGTGGAACAGAAAATGAATATGGATCTGTTGTATCCGCTACAGCTTAATAAAATGAAGTAATAATAAATAATACCCAAAGTGCCAGAGTGTTCAAAAATATTTAGGCCTGGACTACAAATTGTGAATTGAGGGGGTGTGGAAGTTCCTTAATCAATTCATTCTGCTGTCACTAACATGCGTGTATGTAAATGAAGAAAGCAGCAAAGCCTTCTGGAGCTCGTGGAAGAAATTTCATCTACAGACTCCTTTGTTCAGTTTCGCTGGGCTTCATATCTGCATAACTTATATCCATGCTAAGTGTATCTGTATTTACCTTATGCAGTTTAGGTGTAAAAAGTGTAATCTCCAGGGGACAACATTCAAAACTACAGGCCCAGTTTTTGTTTTGCTGACAGCATTTTATTGTGCTGTAGCAGAACTAAAAGAATCTTAGCCAAAGCAGCTACTAAAGAATACCTTCTGAGAAAAGGCCTTTCTTCCCCACCTCATGTAATACTCTCATAATGACTTTTCCCTAACCCTACAGGAGCAACTCAAGGTTGCCATGACTTACACTGAGGACTGGACAAATATCAAAGGGTCTAAATATATTCTCAAAATGTAAGATATACAAAACTGGCTCAAAACATTGCCTCTCTTCTTACTCATTCTCTCTTATTCTCCATTTCCTATCTGAAATACAGCAACAAGCCATGTAAGTATATGTTGTCTTTAATGTAATCAAGCTGCAAGGGGAAATTAGCAGTTGCATTTGGTTGCTTGTCATATTAACGTGACAAAAGAATTAACCAGGATTTTTTTTTTCCCAAAAGGAGTAGAAGAATTTGCTTCCATAATAGAAAAAGGTCATAACGCAGGGTGATTGCTTTTGCAAAGTTATTCACAGTTTTATGCTTACTGACCTCTCCACTCTGCCTTCTCGCCTTTATCTTGTTCTTCTGCTTTTTCATGTAGTCAGCATTGAAATGTGCAAATGCATATTCTACCAGCGCAGCGAAGACAAAGACGTAGCAAATCCAGAAGTAAACATCAAGTGCCTTGATGGCAGATGCTCGTGGAAGCGAAGATCGGGCACTGACCATCAGTGTAGTCATAGTCAGAACAGTAGTTATACCTGCAGTGGAGTGTGAGAAAATTTACTTTAGGTTTCATAGTATACACTATAATAAGTGTATTTACTAATCTGAAGCTGAGGAATATTTTCACAGTAGAAGCCCCTTAATAGTGTGGCTTCTGATTTTCAAAACAGGCGAGCTTGTAAAAAACTGTGCACTGGTATGTCTAAGGCAGCTTTGAACATGTTATCCTTGGTTTTGTTCTAGGTCAGGACAAACAAAACCAAAAGACTTAACCCTCAAAAACTTTTGCATCTGGACTTGCAACCCTTTCTCAGGCACAGATCCACAAGCTCTAGGAACAGTTTTTTGTCACTGTCCCAGTTCCTTCAAATCAGTTCTTTCATACATCTGCCTCACGTTCACTATTGCTTTTAATCATCTTTAGATGGTTATTTTCTGTTCTTTACTGAGGCAGCTGCTCTGATAGCATGACAGAAATTAAAACGTGAAGGAAATCTGCTAAAGGACCTTCTCTTCTGCAGATGTAAACGTAGCGTTCATAAATGCACCATCATGGAAAATGGGAATTATTGGAGAGTGTAATTACAACTTCACCATGCCCTTCCCTGTTAGTTCCCCATACTATCTGTTTTACCTAATGACACTCTGGCAGGCACAGCTGACTGACTGATCCAGAAGGATACCCACGACATGGCCACTAGTAAGATAGAAGGTACATAAGACTGAATGATGTAAACTCCTCGATTTCGCCGAAGGTGGAAGTGGAGACTGAGCCTGGGAAACTGACCTGCTGGAAAAAAGAGCAGACAAAGAAAGATTCTGACTGTGTGAATTACTGTTAAACTGATACTCAAAATACCATTTCCTATAATGACACAGATCTACATTCTTAAACATCTTTTGGACAAGGATCACAAAAAGCTTTTTTGAATGTTATTCAATTAGTGTTCATAAACCCTGCACGAGGTACTGCAGTTCTCGTCAGCACTGCCAGCTAAGAATAGGTCAAATGATTTGACTCAGGTCATATCAATGCCAGATCTGAAAATAAAATCATGAGTCTTCTTGAATAACAGTATTGCTTCAAAATGTGTACTGTCTTATCATCTGCTGTAGAAAGTCCTCCAGATACTAAATTTAGATTTTTTAAAAGGCCAAGTTAATTTCAAACTCAAAAAAGAGCTTAGAGGAGATGTGCAGCATAAATGAGAATCTGAATACATGAAAG